TTAAAACATAAATACAGAAAAGTTAAAAGACATAGCAGTCGCCGCAGTCCCCAAACCAAGAGACACAGACAATTGTAGTATTACGTGAAAACATATTTGTACCCAAAAAATAATGCTGAAAATCTGGCATGCAATATCACATGAATTCACCACACAAGAAAATCCAACATCTTCCCTTGAACTATTATCTTCAACAATAGATACACAATACATACACCTTCAAACGATGAAGTTGAAGCAAACACCTTCAATCAAACGCCCAGAAAATCTGTAAAGACCCAGGTATCTAAAGCTCCAAACAACAAAACACCCAACACCCCAAGTAAACCCAAGCTTGAATCTTACCAAAAAAAATCATCATCTTCATTCCTCATCGAACTCGATTTTTCATTTACCGAATATGAATGAAATTTAGGAACCTAGCATTTCGAGAAGGATGGGATTATTTTTTTCTTGAGTCGGCCCTCAAGGCCTGTTTGGAATGGGTTTCAGAGAAATAGATGCACACATTATAATTGAAAAAAGTACGCACATCTAAACATAACAACAAGCAGAAACTGGTATTAGAAAAAGAATAGAAAAGGCAATACTGGAGATGGCGAGAACCCCGGGCTTGGCCATATAACTGCGACCCAATTTGCCAGTTTTTTCGATAGATCCCGTAGCTCTTGGCCACTCTAATCGACATTAAGATCTTATCCTTCGTGCCTTCGATTTTTGCCTCGCAAGCTCTTCGGAGCTCGTCGTCGTCATCGGCGCTCGATTTCGCCATTTCTCTCTCCAACTGGTCGGATTCTGAAGGAAATTTGAAATTGAATTACGTTTTGGGGGTTAGGGCTTTTAGGATATATTAATCACGTTGTTAGATGATAAATTATTGATTAAACGTATTATTCGATTTCATTGATTTTAGGCCGTAATGGGCCAAATTTCCTCTTTATTTATTTGATCCACAAAGGCCAGTCCATTTTTACATTTAACAAACTTATTAAAAAATGTGGAAATTACAAAGACTAAATGTTATCAAGAACTCAATTCATAGTTAAGATATACTAATTTTTATTTTCAAAAATCAAATATAATTAAAATTTTAAATATTAATAATAATATTATAAAATTAAATTAATTAACATACCCCATCCACCCACCTCAATCACAAACCTTAAATTTATCTTCATTCGTATCTCTCTCTCCCTCTCGCCATTCTCTGTCTATATCTCACCAATTCTCTCTTATCTTCCTCTCCCGACTTTATACACTCTTCGTCAACCTTTGCCGCAGGAGAGTGCCGCCATCGAAGATCGTCTCTCTACCATCTTTGTTATGAGCGTCGTCAATGAAATCATTCCTTGACTGCAAATTGCGCCGCGGAGGCTCTGCAGATCTCGAGTAAAGTCGTTCCTTCACTATGAGCGCCAGGGAGGCTCTACAGATCGTGGCTGTAGTGATGTAGATCGCGATGGTGCAGCGGCTCAGATTATGTTTGTGGGTTTTTTTTTGTTTTTTGTTGGATGGGTGTAGTGGTTTTCATGTTTTGGTGGTTTTAGGGTGATGGTGATGGTGATGGTGATTGTGGCGGTAGGGTGAGGTGGTGATACTATGGCGCTTATGGTGAGGTATTGGTGGTGATGGTGGAACTGGAGGCGATGGTTCATGTGGTGGCGGCGTTATCGAAGGCAATCAGATTTTGTTGGTTTTTAGGGTGTTTTCTGTTGGTGGTGGTATAGAGAATCTAGCGATAGTGCAGGTGGACTTTGGCGCTGGTGTGGTGGTGGATCTGGGGCTGTTGGCAGTGGTGATCGCAAATAGTTGTGATGCAGGTGGTGGCGATGGCATCGTGGTGTTGGTGGCGACGACGGTCAAGTGGGACCAAGAGTGTTTGTAACCAATAAATTGGGTAATTTGTGACCAATATATAATATGTGACCAAAAAATATGATTGTGACTCAAAATTTACTAAATTGTGAATGGAAAATAATTTGTGACCAATTAATTTGATAATTTGTGACCCTTAAATAAGTTATAACTTATAAAATTTATAATTTGTGACCGATAAATGAATCGTAACCTATGAACATTTTGATTTTGCAACCGATGAATAAATTGTGGCTTATTTAAAAAATTAATTTGTGATGAAGAAATAAATTATGACTTATAAAATTTGTGATTGACAAATAAAAAATTTGCGACCTATAAAAATTTTTAATTGAGATCTAGAAAAAATTATAATCAATTAATTTGAGAATTTGTGACCAAATTATATGGAAATGTGACCTTAAATTATTTAATTAATAAAAATGTATTTTTAATTAATTATTTCATAAATAAATTTTAATAAATATTTGATTTTCGAAATTTTAAACCCTTTAGTTTAGTTTTGAAATGAGTGATAGTTAAACTCTTATGAATTTTTTCCTTAAAAAAATTAGAAAATTAGGTGATAAATTATTAATCTCTCTGTCTCTGTCTCTATCTCTGTCGCTGTCTCTGTCTCAATATATAATAGAGAAATTTTCCAAAACTAAACATATACAAAATCAATCTGCAGAAGCGATAGTTCATTTCCTTATTGAATAAAGTAAATCTGGACATCATCTAATAATAATAAAAAAGTTATTCCATAAAAGAGAAGACAACTAAAATTAATATATAACTGGTATGAATTAGTATTAGATAGCAGGATATCATAAAAAATCCCCAAAATTCAGCACTTAATACAATTAAAAAATGTATTCAATTTCGTCACCAACGGCATATCGGTTGTTTTGGCTTTCACGATTGAAGCATGAAATCATGATACAAGGTGGCAATTCCATCAATATCTTGTGGTTTTTCATCACAGATTTTGTAGCACCTCTCTATTTCTTGATTTGTTTTTTGGCCGATGTTTGGGAGAGTCGAGATCTGCTGTCTATCTAATTAATTATTGACACACAACTTTAAATTATTATGTCATCAATTTGGTTGATTAGTTGTGAAGTTAATTATGGTAAATTTGAAATGACATGCTAACTTAAAATGATGTGTCAATAATCAATTGGGTAGATAGTAAATTGGACAGTAAATCTCAATTCATGTTTGAGATGTTGTATTATTGAAATCGTTTTAAAATGACTTTTCTCCTGTACGCTAATTATCCCTCGGAAAAATTCGAGGGTAACTAATTTAACCCTACTTGTGTTATAGTACCAATTTCGATGAAATTAATTAACAGGTGACATTGATTGCACCTCTCGATCTAGACGGCTCAAAATCGTCCACCCAGCTCAAGTGGTTTTCTTACTCCTGAGGGAAACATTACATTTGCCCATTTCTGCATAGTCGCATTTCCATCATTTATGTAAGATCTCTGCGCACATTCACCTGTTGGAACTGTGGCCTAATAAGATCTACAGATTTTAGGCCAAGTTTCTACCCAAATATTTAAGTGAAGATTAGATATTGCAAATTGTTATGAAAAGAGAGAATAAAAGTCAATAGATTTATGTGTATTATAATGAGAACCAAAATCCCATGTATAATAGAGAATAAATAAAAATACATATGATAATAATATTTAGGGTTATAGTGGTACAATTGTCATTCACCAATAACTTGTCATTTACAACACTCCCAATTGAACGACACATTACAAAATATATGTCTCGTTACAACATTGTTTGATAAAAACTCAATGGGACAAAAAAAATCAAAACGAAGGAAAAATAGTACACTTATTTTGAAATATTAAAGATAAATGCTGCTCATTAAAACTTTGCTAGGAAAAATCAGTGGGATAAAACATAAGCGAAGGAAAAAGAGTATAGCCACTCCTCTTGATGTTGATCATTGAAAATCTTTGAGTCGACGCATTCCAATCTTGTGAACCAATTTCTTGAATATAAATGTTGGCAGTGCTTTTGTAAATAAATCAACCACATTGTCACTTGAACGAATTTGTTGAATATTGATGTCGTCATTTTTCTGAAGCTCGTGTGCATGAAAGAATTTTGGAGAAATATGTTTCGTCATGTCCCCTTTGATATAACCTCATTTGAGCTATGCAATACAAGCGACATTATTTTCATACAAAATTGTTCGACTATCTTTTATTGAAATTAATCTGTATGATACTTGGATATGATGAGCCATATTCCTTAACCATACACATTCTCGGCCTGCTTCATGAATTGCAATAATTTTAGAATGATTTGAGGATGTTGTTGTGAATGATTGATTCACAGATCTCCATGATATAGCTGTTCCTCCACGTCTAAACATGTATCATGTTTGTGATTTAACTTTATGTGGGTTAAAGAGATAACGTGCATCTGCGTATCCCACTAAAATATATCCTAACTTTTGAGAATAAAATAATCTCAAATTAATAGTATCCTTTAGGTAATGAAAAATATGTTTAACACAATTCTAATGTCTTTGTATTAGTGTAGAGCTATATCTTGCAAGGAGATTTACATAAAAAGTTATGTTGAGTCGAGTACAATTTGAAAGATAAGTTANCTCAAATTCATTTTTCAAATAATCTGCAGTTTTCTTTAGCTTTTCAAAAGTTCCAATTAAATTTAAGTCATCAACATAAACTGTCACAATTGCAAATCCAACATTTGTTTTCTTTATGAAAACACATGGACACATATCGTCATTTTTATAGTTTTCCTTTCACAAGTATTCGTTAAGTCGTCATTTGATTTGCCCAATCATTATTTCGATTGATATATTTCAATACTTTTATTTCGATATCCTCGCCATTCATAATATGAAGCGGTACATTATGTACAAAAATGTTGCCGACAACTTTTTCTCTTCTTTTTCGATTCCATTTTCTTTTCACATAATGACATAACTTATTGAGATATCTCATTTTTCATTATTTTAGGTGCTTAAATCTCTTATGGGGTATTATAATATGTTATACTCATTAAGAGTATACGCCTCTATAATAAGACAATCTTTACCAATTGCTCTCTTTTGTATAGATGAATTTGTAATAGAATCAAATATTATCAGACTTCAAGCGTGTCATAAATTTATCAAATATAATATTAAAGAATTGTCCTTTCAGGAGTCAATTCGAGTTTAAGCATTTAAAGTTGATGTGTGAGATTATTAATCTCTTTGGTCGGTAAATGCATCTAAATGAATTATCCTTCGAACTTCTGATTCGAATTGTCTTTTACGATGATTTAGACAATGATGCATTTGTACATTATTTTCATCTTCTTAATTTCTCCTACTAATACTGAGAGAATTGTCAAATCAAATTGATAATCATTTTTTTCGAGTTATAAAATATCACTCATTTGGGATAAGGGTTCATACTATACATTTATTCTCAACATTCTTTACTTTCCATCTCAATGCAATGTTGTGGGTTAATTGTACATAGATCATATTATCAAATAATTAGATGAAGAAATCAAGCTCTAACTAATATAATAGGAAGAACTTGATGTTTGCATGATGCATTTTTTAAACAAAAATTGAAGTATTTCGTTCTCAATTAAATTAATTGGAGGCGTTTAACAAACAATAATGTTAAATCATTTATCGACATCTCAACTAACACTTATTAAAAAGTTGAGATTTAGGATCACTGGTGTTAACAAAACACACCGTCTTGATTATATAATTTGGATTTTTATGCTCATAATTTAAGCAATATTTTCACAAACTTTAGGTTGCAAATATCATGCAATCATTTAGTATTTGTATCAAATCTATTAGATACAAACAATATCTAGATGGTCAACGTGGTGGGTGTCGGAACCCCAT